GTCATTTAAAACGTTATAATCATAATTGATGAAAAGACTTGATGAAATTGGAAAACTTCCAAAGTAAATTTAAAATTTTTACTTCTTTAATGTTTACAAGGAGATTAAAAGGATTCATTTATTCTACTTTTATTACATATATAATATATTATATATGCTGGTGCTTTCTCCTTTAGGTCAAGGAGCGATCGGTACCATTCGCCGTACTATCCTAATCGTGGGATACAGTACACATACGTGTTTACAACGAAAGCGGAACAGTCGCGATCGAAAAGATTGCGAAAGTGAGCGCGCAATTGTTGAAATACAGACAATGCGGTTAACACGGTGTGTTTCTGGCGAGGAAAAATCGGCCAACGCCGTATAACTAATTATATTGTTAAAGCTGCCCGAGATATCGCTAATGAAAATCTTAGATAAACAAAATAGATAGTAAATAAAAGAGAGCAAACACTTGAAAGATTAAATTCAACAAAGGGTAATCGCACTACAATGCTCGCGTGGCTTAGCGCTCTACACGCAGCTAGATACGTATCTCCGCATCCGCATAAATATTGATCCGGCGATAATCAAAATTGTTTCGTCCGGTGTGTATGAAACGGCTTTTACTTCGACAGAAGGAGCTGTGCGGATCTCATTTTCACAAGCGATAGCGCGACCACGCAGTTAATTGATGATGGCCGTCGTCATCCGGCGCGGCGTGAGCGCGCGGAAAAATTTAATCGCGAAAGTCGACGCGAGTATGCGTCAACGCAACTCTCGCATCGAATTTCCTCTCCCCTCCCCCCTCCTCTTGATACCGGATGCTCTCCTAGCCTCGCCATTGTCTCGAATTGTACGTGCGAATGTGCGTGACATACGCGCTACGGATTTTCTCTCGCCGGCGCCATACGGACACCGGAGACGTGTCGGGCGGATACTTGTTCCAGCGATTAAATTTGACCCATCTCCGCGCGGATAATGGTACCCAGCGGAGTGTGGCGCCAGAAATGCACCCGGGAGGGAGGATACATAGAGGCGGGGACGTTAGCGGGGTATGTTAAGCAGCGGCGACAATTAGCGAGCCGCTAACGAAAGCCCCGGAACAAATGGCCGCGGCGGACAAAAAAAAAGATGACAAAGCCGACGACGAGAGGATGGGGCTGGAGCACCCCGGATCCCGGAATCGCGACGGGTCGTTCACCACTTGACAGAGTCGCCAAAAATTTTCCGGATTAAAATTAAAACGATTTCGCGGAAAGAGAAAGGAGAGAGAATAATAGTTTCGTAAATTCGGAAATTCGGAGAAATGCGAAAAATTTTATTGAAAGAGAAGCCTTTTTTAGCTTCGCTGAAATCGGAGAAGCTGTTGAAAATACGAGCGTACATGTGCGTTTTCACGAATACGCGCGTTCAAGTACAAACACTTTATGTGACAAAAAAAAAATGAGAGAAATTTGTCATCCGAGCTACAACAACGCGAAGTACGTAGGTGGGACGGGTCCCGGTGTAGTTTGATCTCTTGGAAAATAACAAACAAGCGCCCGACGCAATTTGTTTTATTGTACGATGGAGAATCGAGGAATTCTCGTAACGACCTCGGCGGATTACAGTTATTTGCGACGGAGTGCATCCTTCTTTTTCCATCGCCGCGGGCGGAAATGGGTCACGGAATAGACGATAGGCCAGGCCAGGACGACGTTTATAGGACGGAGGGGAAGAGGAGGGAGAGGGGGGGGGGGCACGATTTTTCTCGAGGTCGCGGGCCGCGTGTCGGGCGCGCGTTCGTCTCTCTTTTGTTGCCGCAGCCGTCGCGAAGCGGGAGCGAATCGATCGGATTAGCGTGAAAGTGTATGATCATCCATATCCATCGGAGACTTTCTTGTTTTCACCTTCCCCGCGAAATAGCGAGACTCTTCCACGCGCCACACATTGCGCCTTATTACCGACCAGCTGAACAACCGACTCTTGAGCAAGCAACGTGTATATACGCGTATGCGGTCGCGGTGGCTTTGTCGTAGTCGGGCGCTCGATGTCGAAATACACGCTCTTGTGTGTACTTTCCGTTCTCGATTTAGCGACGAATCGAGGAAACCCACCCATCGCCGGTAGTTATATGCACGTCCACAAAATAAGGCCGTATAAATATAATACTGGGTCGTTGCGCGTGAAATATCGGCTTCGCACATTCAGGCCATCTCTTCGGGAAAAGAACGTGCGGTTAACATAGATTACAATACATACAAAAAAAACGCAAGATTTTTGAAATTGCAATATTTCATACGCAACGATATAAGAACGACTTCAGACTTGTGGATGAATTTTCTTTAAATACTACGTTACAATTTTGTCGATATTTATGCCGATGTGCCGATCAGGCTCTCTTCGCTTCTCGCATTAAGCTTGCACGGCATAACGCGATGGCGACCGGCAACAGTTACGTCCGTTGAAATAACACTCGGGTGCAATGGCCGCGGCCGGTATCTACGGCCCTGATCCCTCCTCCCTCCCGCGCGCGTTTATATACCCAGCGCAAAGTATATTTATATATATAATCGTGAGAACAATAGCTAAAGCAATCGACAGTTCGAACCTTTCCCAGAAGGTTCGAACTACGCCCACGTATATTCAAACGGGAATCAATCTTTCAAAAATGTCAATCCGACCGGCGAAGTGCCGAGAGCGATGCAAAGACGTGAGAGTGCATTGAAAGAGAAAAAGAGAGGGAGAGAGAGAGAGAGAGAGAGGGGGGGAGCTTGGGAAGGGAAGGAGGACGGCAGAAAATGCAAGAAGGTAGAGAAAAAGAACCCAGGGAAACGGTCGGCGGAGCGGCACACCGAGCTGAGCTGACTGGCACGTTTAAATAAAGAGCCGACGGTAGCTTGCGACGTTGCCGGCTCGGCCGACTATTGATCCGCGGCGGCCGGGGGTCACGTCGCGTGCGACCCGGCAACGCCGCGCGGTTCCCAGCTGATCGGGAGCTCCGCGCCGTTCAGCTCGGCCCGACTCGGCGAGCTGTCACCCTCCTTCTCCTTCTCTCTCTCTCTCTTTCTCGCTTGCGCGAGAACCCGCGTCTCCTCGTTGTACTCGTGCAGAAACACGATATGCACGGCGGGCAGGCACGATATGCCTACCCGAGCAAACGACTGCTATTGCCCTGGCTATGAAGCGAAACACACACGCATACACACACATGCTTCTCCTCTCTCCCTTTCCGCGCGAGAGAGCGTGCTCTGGTACGAAGACCGTATCCTTCTCCTTCTCACTACTCTTGGCAGCGCCTTTCAACGCATTACGTAATTAATACATATTCTTATTTTTTTACGCGAACGAAGCGTAGACGGTTAGTGAGAAATCCAGCGAATCGCGCCTAAAACTAATGTAGTAAAAATTCTTCTGAAGAGAGACAATCTAGAGTTACCCTAGTTTTATTGTACGCAGTTTTTTTTATTATTATGTATTGCGTCGATTAGAAAGGATATTAATATCGGCCTTTTTAGAGACACGAAGTCGGGCGACGTTCGACGACGTGGCTGCCAGCGTTGGTCGTATGACCTGCCATTTTTATTTTTACAATGCCGAGTGAGCGACACGTCCATTTCGTGCCACGTCCAAAGTAGTCTGAAATTATCGGGGACGAAACGTAACACTACTGCGATTTGCGCTTCAAGATTCTTCGACGTAGACGCCTCATCCGTGACGCGATTATCGCGTGTAATTCTATTCCACCGGAAGCAGGTTATTCCACCGTACCGTGGGCAATGAGGTTTTTATGAGAGACGGCGCTCTCCAGGTGCAATCGATGGCCTCCTCGACGTGACCGCCCTTCCCCGTCCAAAGGATACCCCACACCCCTGACTTCCTTATCGATGTCGTTACGTAACGCGCGCGAGAAACTGATCTTGTACTCGGGTAAACGTGCTCTCAACGTTCGATGAATTATGCAGCGCGCTGCCAAAAGCGGTGCGCGGTCTTTCGGGAACAAATTCCTCGAGCTATTCGTATCGCCGTTCCTATTCCGGATTGTCCGATATTACACAAGACAATTGAGGGACCGCTTAGAGCAGTTTTAGAAATTAATGTCATTATAAAATTCTTAAATTTGTATTTTATAAATTATTATCATATAAATAAATTTAAAAAGACGCGAAGCTCCTTAAAAGGAATATAAAATTTCTTTCCTTTTTTTTCGAGAAAACAAAGCTTGCTCCATCAAATTCTTTCCTTTTTATTTTTTGAAAAAACGAAGCTTGCTCGCGCTCATATCATTTCTCTCCCTCTGAATTATTTAGCGTAGAGATCGTTTTAAAATTTATGAATACTTAGAGACGATAGAGGCTTCACTTTTCATTTTATCCGGGTACACAGGGAGAGCAAATGAAATAGGCTATAGAGGCAAACATAAAAAATAAAAGGAGAGCAAATGAAACAGGAGTTCGGAAAGAGATAAATTCCACCCTTCTGCTACTCCTTGCAACACTTTCAAAATTAATCGCCCTCCACGAAACTTTCTATTCCGCAGTCGTACTTTATTGTTTCCACTCTAAGTGAGCTATTTAACAAGAAAGATTCGAAAGAGTACGGAGCGCGGGACAAGCCGGCAATAGAAATTCCTCTTAGCTCGAAATGAAAGAGCGTTCTATCGCCGAAACCAGTCCTCCTTTTGCCCTCAGTGTGCTCTACGATTTCCGACATCCTCGTCGCGCGACGACGAAAAAGAGACGAAAGTCGTGAGATCGATACGAAACTCGTAAAAGCACGTTCCAAGTGAAACGACGTTTTACAGAGGAAAAACTCGTTCTTCTATTGTAACTGGGTTATGACCATGGAAGGAAGGTTTTGGCGACCATAAAAAGAGAGAAAAAATAAATAAAAGAGAAAAGGAGGAGATAGAGTTATCAGGGCGAAAAAGCAGATGACCCGACGGAGAGCCCGCCTCCCCCTGACCATGACCGAGGACGGCGACGACGTGCAGGCAAGGACGCGGAGAGTTTCCGCGTTTAGCTTTACCGTAACCTACAGAAACTTCGCCAATCTCGAGGCGAGACCCGATTTTGTTATTAGATAACTGGAGTACGCAATCACATGCCTTGACCTGACTCACAGCCGCAGTCCGGCTTCGCCAGATTTTACCGCGATTCTGCAACCCTTCTGGATTACAATTCTTTACACTGGAAGGCGGAACGTTCTTGCGAACGGAAATCTCCTTAGTGGCTTCTTCTGAAGATTCGTGATATCGATCCTTCATAGAGTCTCAAAAGCCTCGGCATAGCAATAAATTAATAGATATAATTATAAAATACGTCAAAGAATAAGAATAGCAGTAATAATAAGAATGATTGATTCTATATAAATGTCTATTTGTTCCACAGTACGTTTTCGAGAATGATAAATTTTTAATTTGTCGTGCATTTGTATTTCATTAATTGTTACGTAATTTCATTATCGATCGTCAACGTAATTTGCGTACAAGTTTCGCTTTGAAACACAGCACGAGTTCGCGAGTGTCCTTTCGCAAATGACATTTCCCGCCCGTCTCGATCGGCTCTTATAGATCGTAGTGCAGTCGAAATTGTGTGTCGAGGGCGACGGCGTCGGACGACGCCCAAGGTCGGTCCCGGCGAATAAACGCGCGTGACAGTTTAGAGCGAAGAGCAGGTGCGCCCCGACCGGATACCTCGAGGTCCCCTTCTACCCCTCGGCATTCGCGAATGGGCACGTGAAGCGCTTCCGAAAGAAAGACAAATTAGTGGCGGCGGCTCGCAACATTGTTTGCCCGAAAATATTTGAACACGAAGTCAGTAATTCAAGATTCAATATATGAGGTAAGGCATAACAATGTATAACAGGGCTCCAGCCTCGGAATGACGGGACATCTGTGAAATATAATCTTATCAGGAGGAATGCACAAAATTCCGGAAAAACACGACGAACGAGAAAAACACTCTGAAAACTCTCGAGAACGTCCGTGAATCGTTCCAGGAGCTTTTGTTCAACGTATTATATATCACATACTTTTGAAACGAGGTCTTAAAAATCAGTGAATTACATTGCAAAGGAAACCTTCCTCTATTGCGATCATCCATTTACATTTTCGGCTTTCATACGCGTCATATATATCTATGTTATTTTGCGTCAATTTTGAATAAATTATCAAAGTATCGATACTTCGATTTATCGCTAAAATTGTTATAGCGATCAATCGAAGTATTGATAGTTTTGCGGATGATGCCGAGTGCACTCGTGATCGATCGACTGACCGAATAAGCAACGGCACCGACAGCCCATTAAGTTTAAGCGGCCCGTCTGTTTCTGCGTTACAAGTAAGTCGAAGGTTGCCCGTTAATTCTCTCCCACAAACAACGCGCATATAATTTAGGCGAGCGCTACGTATTTGATGAAGAACAGTAACACGCGCGTGCACACACACACGGGGAATTTATCTTCAAAACGACGTAGGTCGCGTCGCAAACGTCAGCCTGAGGCCAAACATGCAGATCTTAAATCTTGATAACGATAATGCGCTGTTTTGCCATCGTTCCGTAACAAAGGAGAACGACTAGCCGGTGAAGCAGGTGCAAGCTGTTAAATGACGTCGCGAGAGTGCTTCAATCGGTCGTAAATAACGTCTGAGAATACTTTTCATAGATATCGCTAAAAATGCGTAGCCTCGAGTTTCTAGAACAAGCGAGGGCGAGACGCGCACGTTCCTCGTACGAGACAATCTATCCATCAAAAAGGAAGAAACAAAAGGAATCAATAGTCTAAATCAGAACGACTGCACAGGTGAGCGACGTATTTTCTTTAACGAGTCGCGATGGATAAAATGCGTTTTCGATCGCGCAGATAAAAAATTCGTTTACCAGATGAGTACCCATTACTGACACAGTCGCGGCACGAAAATAACCGAAAATATTAGCGCAAACAAACCGATTACTGCCGCATTTAATTCCACCGCGAAAATAATTCAAGAAAGAAAACAGTGCGCTAATCCCAAATTGGAACAAAATTGACTGAATTGAACGTCGAACGAAAAAATATTGAGACAAAATTCTATCTTAGATTGACAAAAGTGTTTCAAATTGGAAAAATAACGAAACAAGATATTTTCAAAAAGCAAAATGTCATTGGTTTCTAGTAATTGACCGCAATTTAGCGGAGACTGAAATCCGTGTAAACGCTGAAATTGCATTCGAACGATTCTTTTATTAGAACGTAATGTGTCATGTATCGTAAGGTGCGACGCAACATCCCGGGCTCCAGATGGCTGATTTGCGTAAGGACGATCGATGCTTCCAATAACGCGTGTGTGCCGTCGTCGCCGTGGGTTCTTCGTCGCGCAAATAATTTTATCGGATTATTGACCTTCGTTATATGCACTGGCGGAGGAGACGAATCCATTAACGCGGACGAATGGCTTCGATTATTCGCGGGGCGCGCCTGGCACGAGAGAGATAGCACACTCCCTCATCCCCCCTTCCTTCCCCTCCCGTGGCAAACAGAGAAATCGCCCGGTTTGCTCCGCGAAGTTTATTGACAAATGGTTTGCTCCTGATTCGCGCAATAAGCAGCGCTTATACGGCCGTAAACGTGCCACGCAACGCGCGCGCAGGCCGCACTCGGTTCTCGCTCCCATTTAATTCGCGGCCGCGAAATTGTTTTTCCTCGCGCGCGACCATTGCGCGCAATTAACCGAGCTGCTACACGCTCGGCTTGCAAAGCGATATCGTCTCTGCAATAAACACACACCGTCCTCGAGTCAATTATTTGCAAATAAACGTCGTGTTACATAATCGCTTGTTACGGAATAAGTGAGAACCATGCGTCATATAAAGGAGCGCGTTTGTTTTCATTCCCGAGAGCGGAGAATTTCAAAATTCATCGAATGGAATTTTCAAAATATATTTGTCATTCCTTTTGCAACGAAAAAATATTACGTTTTACATAGAAGACGTTCTCGAATTGACGGAAGATTAGAGATTCGTTCTTGCTGGCGAGCATACCGTAGCACTGTTCCGCGAAAAGCCTCTCTAAACGGATTTCGGGTTACCCTATAAACCTTCAGCCTTAAGCTTGGAAGCAGCGTTGAACGATGTTTCCGATTTGACTCTAAATGGCCTGCATGTCGTAATGTATGGCGAAAGCGTGGAACAAAGTTAGGTCACGGATCGATATTGCACGGTGGGGGACCTAAGGGACACCCGCCCCTCGTGCATCGTTCAAATACACGACGATATATGCTTTCCGCAGTTCAGGCAGAAACCAAGGGAAAATGGCAGTGGGTGCTATACAACGGATTCTGCTCTACGTCCGGATCCGCACGTGACATTTTTATAAATAGCTTCTTCGACGGTAAAAACTCTATGTACTATTTTCTCCGAGGTACGGAGAGGTGAAATAGTAAAAAAAGCGAACGAGCGGGCTCCACGGGAAAGCGTGGCGGTGTTCGATGTTTAAAGTAAAAGTGAAAACGCGCATGACGTTCCTCGCTTTTGCGTCATCGCGATTTGTATTTCAAGCGGCCGGACTATGTCACGACGTTCGTAGTTCGATAACTACAACGATGAGACTTGATACCTTACCTTTGTAACCGATTAGAAAATACGTACTTCTTATCCACGTGCGCTAATGATTATCCATTATATCTATTTATATATGTAAAATGCACAAGATGATAGACAAGTTAGACGCTAGATAGCAATGCATAGACTGCAGCATGCAGACCGTATCATTATTTCTAGCAGTACATAGGAAAAAATGCTTAAGAATAAGTGCTATTTTAAAATTAGTATTATAAAAATTTCAGTTCTGTAATTCTTTTAATACTAAATAATTTTGTATAAGTCTTATATAATTCTTTTAGTACCAAATAATTTTGTATAAGTTTATAATTTGATTCCCTATTTTTTTGAATTTTATAATTTTCCATCTAGAAGTGTAAATCAACATTTTATAACATTAAGCCTGTTCTTTGCCGCACTAAACTGCACTACAACTTTCTCGCTTTCGCCAAATAAATATCCATCTTATTTCAAGTACAAGAGTAGATTAGTTCAGCTACAAAAAATAAATCTACTAACGTATGTGTATGTGAGACTTGAGTTGAATTTTGTTTGGCCATTGCGGATCTTTCAAAATGATTGACTTCTTGAAGAGAGTTGACGCTTTTCTGAATGGTTTACGCGACGGCCAGACGCCCAGGCACCGTGGCGAGATAGATTCGATTAAACGCAAGCAAGAGCGTGGGAGCATCCTCTGGCCCGGATGCTCGTGAAATTCTACCGTCTGCACGACCGGTTCCATTAGCGGGAATCAAAGTTTAAGGTCTCGCAGACGCGGAGGCCGACCGGTGTTGATGTTAGCACAGCGGTTGTCGAAAATTCCTTTTATCTTCCCGCATTTATCATCATTACGATCGTGATAATGTGCACTGTCTCCGAAACCGGATCGATTCGTAAAATATTTAACGTTAAATACAGTCGCACCTCACGTAGCGGCTATTTATAATCCTAGAAACGGGTGTGTAGAGTATCTCTCTCGAATCTATACACATTCTAGACTTTTTCAATTATAGATAAAGTTCTCGAAGTTCTATTACGATATTCTATTTACGATCCTACGTCCCTATCTGGGCGATACTATTTACGATTCAACCGGGAGCAAAATCTTCCTTTTGCGATTCTAAATTTATTCTGGCCGAGATCTAAAAATTCTCTTTAATCACAATTCTATGGTCTTATTTGCGAAATTCGACATTTATAATCTATAATTCTATTTCTATATCTATATCTAAAATTTCGAAAAAAAATTCTTGTGCAATAAAATCAAGATTTATTTTGTGTAATTTACTATAGACTTCGGACTCGTCTACCATTGATCATAAATTTAAATTGATAATGTGAGCTGATCACACAAGTCTAACAGTTCTCGAAAGTTCAAAGGAGATGGAAACGTCGCTGTAATAAAAGCGAGCTAATGACGGCTAACATAAAATTGTTCCTACGCAGACGTGTCGGCAATCTAGCAAAATCGCTGACAGCTAATTTGGCAATGAACTTGGAAACTATTTCGGACCGTTAATCGCGCTATCGCGTCTGCTCGAAGAGACGAGAGTCTGCGGCCAAGGTGTCCGATATATCTCGACGATAGAACCGGACGCACCTTCGCGCGAGGATATACTCGCGAGGAAGACAATCAATCCGATCCAACGACGACGCTGAAATAGATTCGGTCATCGCGTCAATGACGCGAGCATAAGAACGCGTATATCACTAAATGGAGCGAGTCTCGGCGGACGTGCACGATGGATTCGGAGCATCGGGTAGAGAACGGCCTACCGAGAAATCCCAAACTCTCACCGAGCATTCGACACAGCCGTTGCCGCGAGGGCTGTCTTGTACATGAAAGCCGCCCCTCCCCCTTACTTGTATGCCTTTACGTCGAGCCGCTCTTTCACAATGGTTCTCTTTCTCTCTCACGCTCTCAGTGTATCGCCCCTCTCTCCTTCCCTCTCGTTCCTCTTTCTCTCTCTCTCTCTCTCTCCTACGTCCCGCTTGAAGAGAGCACTACGTGCTGGCAAGGTCTGCGTCGGCGCCCAGCGACCGGGGAGTCGGCGGCGTTGCCGGTTCGCTCGAACCGGCGCTCGCCACGAGGAGAACCCGCTCCGGTAGAGCCGTGGCCGGAGCTCCCGCTCCATAGTCGGTTTTTGCATCTGACGCGCGGCGGGCGGACGCTGCCGGCCGCCGGGAGCGCGATATGCACGAGCGTGTCATATGACACGCGTGACAAGTGGTGCGCGGCCGCGGCGTTGCTGCACACGACGCCGGACACGAAGACGGTTATTGCGTACGTCGGTAGAATAACAGGAGAGAAAGAAGACAGAGAAGGGGAGAGAGAGAAAGAGGGAAAGGGAGAGAAAGAGAAAGGGAGGGAAGGAAGAGGGGTACGGGCGAAGGAAAATAAAACGTTCCTGCGTATACACTCTTGCGTGCGTGCGTGCGTGCGTGAGATCATCGGTGTTGGCTTAACGTTCTCCGACTTAGACGCGGTATTTTTCCTCTCCTTCTCCCTGCGCGCGATTTTCTCGAGACTGTTCCTCGGTGCCGGTGCAACGCGCGGCGAGTACGGTAGCGGTGCACGGGCGTAATTATGTTACCGGCAAAACACGGCTACGGCCTCGACGGACGACGACTCGCCGCCAGTATCATCACCCACGCACCGTCATCGGTCACCACCGTCAGCATCATCGCCGTCAGAGGACACCGCATCGTCGGATCGCTCGCGAACGGTTAGGCTCCAACGATTTTCTTCTCGCCCGATCCCGTTTTAATTCTCCTCGAAGCGATATATTTCGGGGTAGCCTGCGGGGAAACACGACCGTGATTCTCGGCAGGTAGGTAGCGCAGCGGAGGGAGCGAGAGCCTTCGGGCGAGTTCTTAGGGCCGCGAAGGGCGACGACGTTCGCGAACACGTGGTCGCGAGTGATCGATATATTTAAACCACTACCGAGTAGTGTGGAGAAAGAGAGAGGGAGGGAGGGAGAGAGAGAGAAGTCAAGAGGTAGAAAAAGTTCAGTCTTTGTTTACGAGTAAACAGAATCTTTGTCCTTTAGGTCGATAAGCATAAAGAGTCGGGCAGAGAAAAGAAGCGCGGTCGTAACGGACTGTAATACGAGAAAGTTCCTCGCGAGGAGAGGCCCACCCGTTAGGACATGGGAAGTCGCTGTACTCGTGCAAATCGTCACATTGCAGGTCTTAGGAATGCGGGTGCGGGTGGCGAGGGGAGGTGATGGTCCGCGCTTGAGGTGGTTGGTCTTTCTCGTCTTTCTGGTGACGATAGTGCAGATCGCGGGTGCACCTTCGGACACGCTGCCGTCGGTCGCAAACTTAGCGTCGTCGTCGTCGTCCACGTCGTCGCGAGTAGAATGTCCCGAGGGATGCGAGTGCGCGGACATCAACAACGGTGGCAGTCTGAGGTGCGCGGGGCGCAACTTCTCCGGTCTCGCCTTGCCGCGAGACGTTACGAGCGTGTCGCTGAGAAGGGTCCGGATCCAGAAGAATGTGTTCCAGGCGACCGTTCTGGAGAACAACGTCGGGCTGCGACGGCTCGTCTGGTCGTCGAGCGGGATCAAGAAAGTGGAGTCCGGCGCGTTTCGCGCCACTCCACACCTCGAGCAACTCGATCTAGATGATAATCGGCTGGCCGACCTGCCGTCGGACGTCTTCCATCCATTACATCAACTCCAGTACCTGAACCTCACCGGGAATCAGCTGACCGTGCTGCCGCAGCAGCTGTTCCGCCATCTGAATCGCCTCCAGGAAATCCGCCTGGCGGCGAATCAACTTTCTGTACTGCCCTATCAGGCGTTCTCGTCCGCCAGGGAGCTCGTGCGGCTCGATCTCAGCGGTAATCGACTGGTCTCACTGCCGGATCATAGCTTTCAGCCGAATCGACAGCTGCAGGAGCTACGACTGGTGGGCAATCGGCTGACGAAGCTGCCGCCGCGGTTGTTCTCCGGTTTGGTGCAACTGAAAGTCCTCGATCTCGCCGACAACGAGATCGACGCATTACCGCGTAGTCTCTTCAACGACCTCACGGCCTTGGAGCACCTCGATCTCGGGGGCAATCCGATCGCGCATCTCGCGGGTAATGCGTTTCAAGGCCTCGCCAGTCTACGATGGCTCGATCTGAGTCGTTTGCTGATCTCGTCGCTGCCCGGTGACATCTGGCGACCTGTCAGCAGGCTTAGGACTCTCCTGCTATCCGGGACCAAATTGGAGAATCTTCGAAACAAGAATCTGGCCGGTCTGGCCGAGTTGGAGACACTGGAGATTACAAACAGCCCGCTACGGGAGATCGGCCAGTTGACTCTGAACGAGACACCGTCCCTGCGTAGAATCGACTTGCGTAACAACGAGCTGGCCTTCCTGCCGGCGAACGTGGCGCATCTACCGTTGCTGGATGAGTTGCAGCTACAGGGCAATTCATGGGCCTGCGACTGCCGCATGTTCTGGTTCGTCAAGTGGGCGGAGAGCAAGCCGCATCTGCACGCGACTTTCCAGAACGGACTCAAGTGCGGCCACGAAGTGGACATCTTGAAGACGTTACGCTACCTCGAGTGCAGTCCGCCGTACCTGGTGCGGACCACCAAAACCCAGCAGTATCTCCTCTTAAGCTCGGTGCTGCTGGAATGCGAGTTCAGCGGGAACCCCGCGCCCTCCTTGACTTGGGTGACCCCGAGCGGTTTGGTGCTCCACTGGGTGCCGGACCCGGGCTTCCCCGACGCGTTCGTCGAACATCCGAAGGTGCACAGCTGGATGTCGGATCGGCCGGTCGTCGACGACAACCGCATTCGCGTCCTGGAGAATGGCTCCCTTTATATCGCGACGCTGCTGCGGCAGGACGTGGGCAAGTACAAATGCACGGCGGTCAACCCGATCGCCAACGAGACCGTCTACATAACGCTGCACATGGACCCGATAACCTTGCACAATATCAAGATCTTTAGCATCCTCGTCGGCGCGATTAGCACCGCGGCGTTTCTTCTGCTGACCTTGGCGGTGCAGCTGCTGCGGTATCTGTTCTTCAAGTAAGTATACGCCAACATATATAATGTAATAAAAATATACACTCTGTACTCTTCTTGTATGCCGTGTACCTCAGCGACTGCGTCAAACGCATGTGCCCGCATGTGTTGTCGGTCAACAGAGCCGTTAACAGTTCGAGTGGTAGTAACCGCTCGTCGAGAGCGTCAACTTTAACGAGTAGAGCGAACAAGTCGGCGGAAGGTCAGGACGCGATCGATAACTCCACCTGACGATTCCGACGACTTTTATATATATATATATATACATTTTCCTTTCGCAACCCTCTCGCTAACGTTCTTCCCCCCGTGAATCTCTCTCCGTAGGTGCGGATGCATCAAGTGGTGCCTGTGCTGCAGACGCGTGGGCGTGACGCCGCGGGCCAAGCAGATCTACCAGATGCTCGACAACATCGAGCAGTACAAGAGCCAGCAGCTCGAAAGGCTGAGGGAGAACTACACGCAGCAGGTACACAGAATTAAGGACAACTGTGTTCAGCAAGTGGAATGGATCCGCGACAGCTACGAGGGTCAAATGCAGCATATACGAGACATACGGGACTACGGTACCAGCCACCTGACCGCGCTGAGAGATCAGTACTACGATCAGGTACGATACACGGCGTGGGAATTTTTGCGCGGGAATGCGCACATTATAATTAGCTCAATTTCTTTTGTTATCGTATTCACTTTCTATTTAATCTACGTGATCTTGTTACAACGCGCGAAGTAATAAAAAATTCATTAGACACACTCGTCGCTTTTCGACATCGGTGAAACAATTCTCCGTTGATATAAAAAAAAAAAAAAAAACATATAATGAGGATAAGAAAGTCACGTAGCGCAGTTTATTATGGCGATAATAACGAGAGATGTCGCGTATACAATAGATACACATCTAGCCGCGTCTATTTTGTTACTCTTTCGCAGGTGAAACGGGTACGGGACTATTCTACCGGTCAACTGAACTGGGTACGCGAGAATTACGTCTTCCAACGGAACAAGATCCGCAAGTTCAGCGCCCATCAGGTGTTGCGGTTGCGCGAGAGTTACAAGTACCAGCAGCAGACGTTGGCCAAGGTGCTGGAGAATCTGCCGAATCTGTACTTCGACAACTGCCGGAGCGGCTCGTGCGGCAAGAGCGACTCCATGGTGTTCGATCCTACCAAGGACGATCTCAATGGCATGGATACGTATTTCAAAGCGAAGATCGACGATTTGGTAGCGGGCGTGAGTCTGGAGGACGTCAACAGCGAGTATTACACGCCGACCGAGCTGTCGTCGACCAGTCCGCACGGCCAGAGCATGATAGAAGGCATTCACATCAATTATATCGAGGAAAGCAGCCCACCGCCGCCTCTGGGACCGCCCACGGTGTTACCCGCTTCGACGGTATTGCAATGCATCAACGAATACGGCAGCATATCGTCCATGTACAACAATCACGAGAACGATAGGCCGATCTTCAAAGGCACCAACGGTACGATCTTGGCTAAGGAGCTTCGGAGGGAAACTCCGGAGGTCCTGGGGCTTCTAGCACCTAGCAACAGTCTACCTGATCTTCCACGCGAGACTAAACTCTAGCCGGCAGAAATTGAGGCGCCGTTAAAGTGGCCAAGAGAATGGGTTCCTGCTATTATTTAAGTTGTCAGAAACACAAGGACAGAAATTGTTCTCGGACAGTCAACAGGGATGGAAGCGTGAACGAAAGGATCGTCGTCACCCTGCGTCCGACAAGTGGGAATCGTCTTCGCTGTCGAGGAGATCGCCTTTGAAGCTTCTTCCGCTTTTGATTGTACGACTGATTCGAGGGAGAGTGAAGACAGTTCGAGAAGAACTCGTGTCAGTGCCAAGAAACGGGAGATCCTTCCTCTGCCGAGATCGATGACTGTCGATCGCAAGGGAGAAAGTGTGTGCGTGTACTAATCTAAAAAGAACAAAAAAAAATTACGGACAGCTTTCAAGGACTACTCTTGATACGAACGACCTTGCAACCTGTCCGTCTTTCGTCAAGCAAACGTGTGCTTTTTTTTTTCAGTGTCATCGTTTACTGGATGACTGTCATCATCCGAGGGGATAAAAAAGAAAGAGGCGCGAATTGCACTTTGCGTCCTCATCAACTCGGCTGTAAATTAATTTCCTCTTGCAAGCACGACGAGGAGGAAAAGTAACTTCGCCTAGTTGTCAATTCTACAAGTCTCTTGAGATTGCGAGTTCCGCAAGGGATCGTTCTCAACCCTTTCTGTAAATAGGCGTGCGTGAAAGTTTTATGTATCAGTGATATCGCGAGAAAAAGTCGAATTATATCCTCTCATTGCGAAAGACTGAGATGGCGAGATCTACACGCCCGTAATCGTATTCGTTTTTAACTTGCTTTCGTCTTCTTCTTCTCCCGCGAACAAAAAGCGGTGAAAAAAAAATAATCGTCAGCTCGTGTCCTTTCTTCTATTGTTTTTAATCGCTTGTGTTTAGCGTAGTAGGTTACAAATTGTTCAAGAGACATATATTCGAGTATATGCCCATCTTCGGAGAAAGAAGGAAATATGCCAGAGAAAGTAATCAACGTACGTACTTAATTTTTTAATCGTAGCAACACGTATCTCCAACCGGTCGGGCTTACCATTTGCGCGAAGAAAAAGCAAAAGAGAGAGAAAGACAGAAAGAGAGGAAATTGTAATTACGAAAAATTATATTGGCTGTTAGATCTTTCAAATTGAAACTTCTTTCAGAAACAGAAATTGTATGTACGGATTTTGGTTGCAACGAAATTGCTCTTTATATAAATTTTGCAAGATGCGTCCCTTTGTTGAATAAATCCTGACGAATCGTCGCCAAGCATCTACATCTTAATCCCCTATCCAAATTCCATCTCGTAATTAGACGTCGCAGAAAAAAATAATATTGAAACTTCGTTTATTCTTTCTTTTTTAGAGACACGCGTGCTAAATAGAAAAAGAGAATTACTACTAACCGCACTAATTAGGGAAGCCGCTAATTAACGAAGTTGGTAACTGTAAATAATTCAATTAACGAGAACTTTAATCATCGAGACAGTATCTTCGCAATATATTTATCATTTAATAGCTGAGGTAGAAAGATGAGAGCGACGATTAAAGGAAAATATAAGAATAGTCAGAATAATCCATAATTTGTCCGATCCGAGTTTAACCTTTTAACGAATTGTGCAAAAGACTTAACAAAAATTTCAGTTTCAAATGTTATAGTCAGAGTACTGTCTACAAAATAAATGAAAAAAAAATTCAATGATAAAGAAAAAAATAATAATTTCAAAATAATATTAATTATATAATTTTTTACAACGTAACAATTTCATTTAAAACATATTAAAATCAATCTGTCCCAAAAAAGATTAGTATCAGATTAATTTCTTATACAGAATTTCTTTTATTTCATACTCTTATAAAATCTAGATTTTTTATAGATTTAAATTTACAGTTTTACGAGGCAAATACAGAAAAAATAATGTTGTTCACGGAAAATAATTTTTGTCAAATAATTAATGATTAATTTACAATTATTTCATGAAATTTTTTAAAATTTTGTGAGGAAGAAATATATGAAAAATAATTATAGTTATAAAAATTTACAAATTAGATGTTTCCGTTAAATGCTGTATATAAATATAGTCATGAAAATGTTTATTTTTCTAACGGACATAACATAAACTGGCAAGGCAATTTATGGCTGAAGGAAAGTCTTGAAAGATTCCTAAGTTTAGATCTCTACGGCTCGCTCTCATTAGGAACTCGTAAATCATCACGATCAGATCGCCGAAAATGCTTTCGTATCGGGAAAAAAATCACGATAAAAAGGGGCACGTGCGTACCGATTATCTATAATAACTGCTGTCAATGGCAGAAACGGCTGAGTCACCACGGCAACGATGCCAATGAAACGAAACGGAAAGGAAAATGACCGCGGCTAGGAGAGCATTGTCGTTATTTTTGGATCGCGTCAGCGGCGTTGCGAGAGAGATAAAGTTTTATCATGCTTCCTCCGTTAAACGGAGGGGGAAGCCGCGCGCGGGATACGCAAGACGAAGCAGAACCATAGTGGAAACGATGTAGTTGGTCTTGGCATCGTGGTTGAATCGTAAGGCGAATCCTATTCTATATCGAGAGAAACCCCGCCTGGGTTAAGTCGGAAGAAGTAGGAATCGAGAGGTTGCTCGAATTTGATGAAACTGGAGTCAACGTTTCCTCAGTGAAAAGTTGAAGCGTGATCACGGAGTCTCCAAGCATGTTTTGCAATATAATTAATCGACGCGGTTCATTACAAAACAAACGAATTAATTTCCACGTTATTCGCGTCTCGCAGACTGGTAGGCTCTATGAAGAATCAATAAAAAACTTTTTAATAAATGGTATATATACGTAATTAAAAAAAGAATATCGTTATTACCAGAATCTGAACTTGCATCATATAATTTCATATAAAG